ACACTTGACATGTTTTCTATGTTCTATTGTGAATAAAATCTGGATTTATGGGATTTGCAGATCCTTTTTTATTTACATTCTTCCCAACTTTTTTGGAATTACCTCAAATCTGTGAAATACTGCGTTTGTGTAGGTTTCAGATGTAGCAACTTTCCAGTTATTATATTTCACTAGCTGGGCTCACGTCCTCATTTTTAGGTTTTAGTAGGTAAAGGTGAACGCTTGGACATGAATTGAGCTGCGGTCTGGGGAAGGCCCCGAAGGGGGTAACCTATACAGATGACAACCGGAAGACGCGGGTTTGGAGGCGTGGCCCCGCTCCTGAAATTCCAATACATAATCTCCAAATACATATAGGAAGTGGGTAAAATAAGTATTTAATATGTCACCAATTTGCCAAGTAAATATATTTCTAAAGATTCTCCCCAGATGTTGGTGACAATCCAATCCACACATGCAATGAAATTAAACCATAGATGTCGATAAATTATGTTTGATAATGAGAAATGACACAGAGAAAAAGTACTGAGCAAGCTTGATGAAATGTATTTAATACTTTCTAGATGACAACTTAATTTTCTTTCTCGGAAACCATTTGAGAATTTCCTTGGCTGTGCTTTTGGGATTACTGTCTTGAAACGGGAGACGTCCACCTTCGTTTCATCTTCATCATCCTGCTAGATGGCAGCATATTTTTATCAAGAACGTCTCAGTGCGTTTTCCGTTCATTCGTCCAGTTCATTCACGTATGCTGAAAATCAGCCCCACACCGGGGATGTTCCCACCTCCAAACTACACTGTTGGCTAGAATCAGAGCTTTTGGGGGTGCTGAGCACCCAGAGAGCTGCCCATCCAGGCAAGAAAAACTTTACTCGTCATGATGAGCCTTCTTCCCTGTCTCTGTCAGTCCCTGCATCCTTAAATGTCTCCAGTTTCCTGAGTTCCCTCTGACTGTCTCCTTAGTGCATTTAAACCCCCGTTCCTCCCTGTCCTCATCGTCTGTTGTCTTCATCTCCATTATCAGTCATCATAATTTTACCATCTCTGTGCAAGTCTGCAAATTTCTTTATTAAATCATAAGATTCTTAAATTCATCAAGTCTCTCTGTGCCTGGGTCCTCGTCACAAAACATGACATCACTGTTTTGTACATTTTAACACAATTTAATCCCACATTTGTGCAAGAAAAGCTAAACACTTTTTTGACCAGTCTGTAACAAAACCATCAAATCTGATAAAGGTTATTTAAATGCTGCTAAAGAAGAATGGATTGGAATTTAAAAACAAAAAAACAAAAACTGATGATGAAAATAATTCTTATAGTGAGTAAAAAGTAAACTGGGTGCATTTTTTGGACAGAGATTCACTTTTAAAGTGTATGTATGATATAATACAGATACATAAAAAATACAATCCAAAAATAGAGTCCTTGAAATGTACAAATGTACAAAATACTATTAAAAAATTAGAAAAATGAGACACCTTGGCCTTTGGTACAATGTATCCAATGTATGAAAAGATGTTTAGTGCAGATGCTACTATGGCTCTGCAGATTTTTTTCTTTTCTTTTATCCTATGTCGCCTCACCTTGAGGTTGGCAAATCTGTCTATCACATTTTGGTGGTCAAGTCTCTCAAGCATCTCTTTCTCAACTGACATCACAGCCAGGTGCTGGAGTCTGCTTTGACCCATGGTCCTTCTCAGCCAGGTATGGAGCTGACTCAAGACACTAAAAGACCTCTCACAGCTACAGCTGCTAACTGGGTTTGTTAGGGCAACCTGAATAACAGTTTTCAGTGTGGGGAAGATCTGATTATCCAGAAGATTGTACAATGTTAACATATCTGGGATGGCACCAGCCTCACTCTTGAGATTCAAAATGTTTTTGGCAACCGTGACTTCCTCTGACTGAAGTTCAACATGGTAATGCAGTGCTAGGGCTGACAACCCAGTTTGTTTTGCAGACTCTGTATAGCAGCTTTAATATAGGGAGAACACAACTTCCAGATTGTATGAGTAAAATTAGTTGTGTTTTTTTTTCTTTGCCAGTTTAACAGTTTCTGTTGTGCCTGTCACTGTTTCCTGTCTGTTTTCTTACCTGGTTCGTCCTGACCTTGTACTTTCTCCTCATGTTCTCCTCTTTCCTCTCTCCCTCTTTGGACTGACAATCAAACACAAATAGATTGTATTCAATTAGATTAAAAAAATATATTTTTAAAATCACTAATAAAAAAGTCCTCTCTCAGTGTACTTTCAACCAAAAGGCAAATAACCAAACCACATGCACATCTAATAAAAGATATAAATATTGAAACACTGTTATCTATACACTGGGTTATCTATACTTTTGTTGTTAAAGTGTTCCATCTCAATTAAGTACTGTATGCTTTTTATATTTTTAGTAGTGTGTTTCACAAACAGCAAATATTGTCAAAAAAAGTAAGAAATCTTTGGGGTGCTTTCATTCATTTTTGGGGTGCTGAAGCACCCCAAAAATGGGCTAAAATCGCCCCTGACTGTTGGTATGGTGTTTTGGGGGTGATTTGCAGTGCCTCTTGACCTCCAAACGTGGTGTATTATGGCATCTAACGAGTTCAATTTTAGTGACATTTATAGTTTGATTTCTTTGCATGCTTGGATCGAGTTGTTACCGACATCAGGTGAAAATTTAATCTCAGCAGCACCTTTAGAAATATGTTTTCTGTAAATGGGCAAACATACGCGGGTCAAATTGCATTCTCTTGAGTTTAGATTTTCTGTTTTATTTATCATGTAATTGGTGAACCACAATATAACAGAGCATTTGTCTCTACCCTTCTTGGGTGTGCACTAAATAAATAATAAAAACAATAACATAAACACGAGTTGGTTTGATTCAAAATGCTGTTACTTCTTTATTTGATCATTTTAGACAGTGGTGTGATATTTTGTCCTAATGTCCATATTTGTTGTTAAAATTTTTCACTGTGTTCTGTGTGGGAGTCACCTTGATAACTAACTAACTGTAATCAGTTCATCCTTGAGTCAAAAAAATTGTCTGTTAGATTCAAAAAATTAACCTGAGAGCCTTTGAAAAATATTTTAAATGGTAAATGGCCTGTATTTATATAGCGCTTTACTAGTCCCTAAGGACCCCAAAGCGCTTTACATATCCAGTCATCCACCCATTCACACACACATTCACACACTGGTGATGGTAAGCTACATTGTAGCCACAGCCACCCTGGGGCGTACTGACAGAGGCGAGGCTGCCGGACACTGGCGCCACCGGGCCCTCTGACCACCACCAGTAGGCTACGGGTGAAGTGTCTTGCCCAAGGACACAACGACCGAGACTGTCCAAGCCGGGGCAGTCTCGGTCGTTGTGTTACCAATTACCTAAATGGGACATAGCTTTGGACAGTAAATCGAAAATATGTCAAAATTTGACATGATTTCTAATGATGCAGCTGCAAATTTAACACTCCTTGCAACCCGAATAGAAGAAAAAAACAGCAGTCCATAAATGAATAGTTTGTCATGAAACTTGTTAACACTCTCTTTCTCAATTGTACAACACTGAAAGGGCTAAAGTCACCAGTTGTTCGGCTTAGCTGAACATGAACACTAGAAAAAAGGGATAAAGACAAGATCTCTAATTAAAATCAACTATGGTGAATTACAGGTATTTGTAGGTAGATTAAAATTAAATAGATGTTATTGGATAGTTTTACTGGGTAGTATTGTTTAGTATTGCTAACTGCAATTCATCTGTAAGTCCCAGATCTATTGTACGTCATTGGTGATTGATCAACTAACATGTTTTCAGGCACAAATTATTGTAATTTATGTGTGCTGATAATATAAAGCCTTGCTTGCTAATGTCTTAACCTTTTGCTGCCATGTCTTTGCTAGCGTATGCTAACTTCCAGGAGAGAGGCTCCAAGATCCGTCATTGCCGTAAAAACTCCTAGTGATAGTATTTACAACCATGTCGTGCATCAGTTTGCAGGATCCTCTGCTCTTATTGGCAATGCTTTATACTGTTGATCAGTACACCCACAAAACTCCTATACAGGAAGTTGATTTTGGCTCTCTGAAAAAAAAAAGTCTTAATCTATGAGTCTTACCTTGTAGATAATACAGGGTTCTGGAGCTGATGTGGGCGAGCCTGACTTGACATCCAGGTGTCTTACCCTTTGTCCAAAAAGCTCTAATTGGTTGTTCTAGCCTTTAATATCTTCCATTGGGGCCAATTGTACAAGCCTGTAAAACCAACCCACACTAACAAGTGCCACGATCTAGTAGATGGGAGCTGCATTAACAGGTGTGACTGATAAAATTTGACCTGCAAGGCTACTCTGGCTTTTTTGTAATACTGAATGAAATGAAATGAATGATATTATGGCTCAGACGTGGCAGAGCAGAGATGAGTGAAGTTATAGCATACAAAGAGCTGAAGCAGAGTTTTAAAAGTAATGAAGTCATCCACTGCAACCACTGTCTATACTTCTGCTGTGCTGTTGATTTTTTCGATCTTATTGATCTGTTCCTGTCTAATTCCTTCACTATTGGTCCCTTCACTATTCCGGGCCATTTGTCAACCAGTCATGCCGGCGCACAGATCATTCAGCAATGTGGATTTCAGTGAAAACCCCTCTTGGTTTGGTGTCTTCATGTCATGAACCCTTTGCAGATGGGTGGTGAAATGTCTCCAAGAAGCTAAAAGAGATCCAGATGCCTGCAAGCACTTTAGACTACTGCTGTGAAACTTTGTTGCTTAATGAACTAACAGTATCAATAGCTACATGAAATTGTTTATGTGCATTGTAATGTGGCAAATATCTGGCCTGCAGCACCACGAGACAAGAGCTGAAGAAGATATCAGTTGCTGTTTTAGCCAAAAAAGACAATTTTTAGGATCTATCAGACCAGAGAAACCTAAAAAAAATTGTCATAATTAGCAGTTAATTGGCCACTGAGGTAAGATTAAAAATTGCAGACGTTATGATGATATAATTAGCAATCATTGTTTATTTAAAACAATATCATTAAAATTTGTATTTGAGCAGAATCATTCATTCCACATATCTGATGAAGAGGACAATGAAGATGCAGCCGAGCAGAGACATGGTCGAAGCCGAGAGGACCACCACGATCACACTTCCTGCCGCGTTGACCAGAGCACCGAGCCCCACGCCCACGATGATCTGAGCCAACTGGACCATGCAAGTGAGGGCGGCACAGTCCATTCCCGAACCTCGAGGACTTTTATTGCTTCCGTGCAGCTTCAGTTGTTGCTGGAAGCACAGGAGGTTGTAGGTTTATTAGAGAAGAGGAGGATGGCGGGGAGGGGAAAACAAGAGAGCAATATATGGAAACATCAATTTCAGTTTAATCAGAGAGGCTGTGGCAAAAAACACAAACAAACAGCTGGATAAACAGACGGCTCTGAGAATATGAAGAAACAGCTTCTTAAAAAGATAGATTCTTTTCAGCCTCGCTTCAGTTGTTGCAAGTTGAATTCCATCAAACTCTCACCTGATTTAGTTCAATCAGGTATTGATTGACCGTGACAGAAAAAAATAAACAATTGATTTTCGAGGCAACCACTTATGAATGACATTGCAGTTTATCAGAATCAGAATACTTTATTGATCCCTGGGGGAAATTATTTTTTGTTACAGTGCTCCATTATAAACCAATGTTTTATAGATGAACTATATAAACTTTTTTGAGAATGTTGCAGCAATACTATAAGCGGTATTAAAACATTTATGTGGACACTTAAAAAAAGGGAAAAGAAGTTTAGTGTTATTCCAAACCTTTAAAATGAAAATCTGATCTTTTATTTTCCGTAATTGTCGGGCTATAAGCCGCTACTTTTTGCACAAGCTTTGAACCCTGCGGCTTTTAGTCAGGTGCGGCTTTTCTATGGATTGTCCATGATTTTTGTGATATCGTAAGACGATTTGTTTTGTTTGTTCCGCTGTTGTACGGCACTACGTTGCCTGGCGGAAGGGCATGTGATCAGACACACAGTATCGGGGTTCAAGAGTGGTATGTTGGTCACATGTCCATCCGCCAGGCAACATAGTCCCCTACAAGTAGCGCGAAAAACAAGCTTCAAAGTAGCGCTACGCGTTCAGCGGGAGGCGTGGATGACGAGCGGCAATAAACTTGCGAAAAGCAAGTTATGCTCAACTTCGGTGGAATCTGACAGCGTGGAAAAGTGTGAAAACATCCACGATCACCAACGGATTTCGAAGGGTTGGACTGCTGCATGATGGAGAGGAGGACACCGCCACGGCCCTTCAGAGGGTGTTCGACTCTGACACTGACAACGAGGATTTCTTTGGTTTTGAAAGTGACAACAAAGGAGAGAAGCGGAGAGTGGATGACGAAGCCACCCTGAGCCTGTTAGTATCCGACACTGGAGGAGAGGACTTTGGTGGTTTTAGTGCGCAGGAAGATGGTGGTGAATGACTGACTTTTCTTGAGCCTAAAAGGTAGTCCGAATCTATTTTTCTGGTGTGCTGTAGGTTATTGTTATGTACTACATTTGTTACTCATTTATGAAGCACAGCACATGTTTCGTACTTGTAATTACCGCTACTTTTACATATACCTAAAAAGTTGTGCAAATATGTACCCATAACTTGTTTTTCAAAATATTAATAAAAGGGATGTGTCTCCAAACAGCCATCTCTTTCCTGACAATTCCCTTTGTGTATATTCTCTTACATATGATAAGTCAACATTGAAACACCTGCGGCTTTTAGTCAGGTGCGGCTAATGTATGTACAAAACAGGATTTTCCCCTGATTTTAGCTTGTGCGGCTAATATTCAGGTGCGCTTTGTAGTCCGGGAAATACGGTTATTTTTTTGGTATTTAAATGCATAAATGTAACTTACATAAGTGGCAAAATCTTGCCAAAAATCTTGTTCTGCAGAACAGCATCTAACAATGATGTAACACTGAATGATGCAATTTCAAATTCACAATAAAATATGAATGCCTGTGTACTTGACTGACAGATGATTGCTACTGTTTGATATATTTAAACCAATTAATTCCCCATTTAACAGGTATAAAAGGTGCATTACAACAATTTAACACAAAAACGTCAGTTCAGTCGTTCGTTCTATTGATGAATAAATAATGACATATATTTATGGTTTTGGAGAGCCTCGTGAATATCTCTGGTTTCCATTAGGACTTTAAATACTTCTACAGAAAACCGCCAGAAGGAGTAGAGTCAGTTGTGGTCATGAATCGCTGTGCGGCAGGCAGGAGTTGGACCCAAAATGCAGGACTCAGACTCGGGGAGGTGAACTCAAAACACAGCTTTATTTGCTGGTAGAACAAACATACAAACTAGACTAAACTGGGAAACCATAAACTAAGAACTCACAGGGAGACACAGGGAGATCCACACACAGCATGAGGGACGACGCCACGCCGAACAGAGGGAGACGCAGACAGAAATACACAGAGGGTTAACGAGGAAAGTGGGAACACACGGGGAACACAGGTGACACTGATAATCATAACGAGACAGGGCGGGGTGAACTGAACATGACATGTACGGGCGTGAGAGTCACAAAGTAAACAGGAAGTGCACAGAGGTTCAGACAGGAGGAGAGAGAGCACGGGGAAACACAGACATAACGGGCTGGGGAAACATGGAATAAAACATAAGGAGAGACGAGGGCTCACAGATACACAGAGGGCACACAGGGGGTAAAAGCCATGAAGGGAAAACACTTAGGGAACAACACAACAGGGCAACTCAGAAAACATGGCCTAAATAAGGAACAAAATACAAACATACAAGAAAACTAAGAACACTGGGCCAACATGGCCCAGGACCATGACAGTACCCCCCCTCAAGGGCTGGCTCCGACAGCCCAAACCCGAAAAAACAAAACAGAAACAACCCACCCAGGGCGGGAGGCGGGGGACCAGGACGGAGGGACCAGAACGGGAAACAAAAACAAACAGAAACACAGGAGCACATGACTATAGTCCCAAATAAGGTTCCAGGGGGCCGACCCAGAGCCCACAGGCACAAGAGTTCACGGGTCACATGGTCGGGGGCCGACCAGGTGGGCGGCACAGGTGACAGAGCTGGTCCGGAGGCCGGCCGTGCGGAAGGCAGCGGCGATGGCGAAGGGGGGACGACGACGGAGCAGTTCAGGGGGCCGACCGCGCGGAAGCAGCGGCGGCCCTCCAGTCTCAGGCGTGCTGGCCATGGCCTGGTGGGCACAGGACCAGTCGAGGCCGGACCAGCGAGGCCGGACCAGACGAGGCCGGACCAGACGAGGAAGAAGACTCGGAGGCCGGACCAGACGAGGCCGGACCAGACGGTGGCGATGCGGGGGCCGGACCAGGCGAAGCACAGGCTGAGCCGGACCAGACGAGGACGAAGACTCGGAGGCCGGACCAGACGAGGACGAAGACTCGGAGGCCGGACCAGACGAGGACGAAGACTCGGAGGCCGGACCAGACGAGGACGAAGACTCGGAGGCCGACCAGACGAGGACGAAGACTCGGGGCCGGACAGGACCGGACCAGACAGACGAAGAGGGAAGGACCAACGAGGCGAAGTCGAGGCGCCGGGACCAGGCGGAGCTGCAGAGGCTGAGGCTGGACCAGGCGGAGCACAGGCTGAAGCCGAAGCTGGGCCAGGGGGAGCAGAAGCAGAAGCCAAAGCTGGACCAGAAGCAGAGGCTGAGACCGGCCCAGGCGTAGCAGAAGCACAGGCAGAGGCTGGCCCAGGCGTAGCAGAAGCACAGGCGGATGCAGCCGGACCAGGCGACGACGAGGCGGTCGCAGGTGGCGGCTGGACAGGCTCCTCGGCCCTCCAGCTGATGCGGCGTGAGGCTGACGGCCCCTCGGACCCTCCAGCGGAGACAGGAGGCTGAACGGGCCCCTCGGACCCTCCAGCGGAGACAGGAGGCTGAACGGGCCCCTCGGACCCTCCAGCTGACGAGGCGTGAGGCTGACAGGCCCCTCGGACCCTCCAGCGGAACAGGAGGCTGAACGGGCCCCTCGGACCTCCAGCTGACGAGGCGGAGGCTGACGGGCCCTCGGACCCTCCAGCGGGAGACAGGTGGCTGAACGGGCCCCTCGGACCCCTCCAGCGGAGACAGGTGGCTGAACGGGCCCCTCGGACCCTCCAGCGGAGACAGGTGGCTGAAACGGGCCCCTCGGACCCTCCAGCGGAGACGAGGAGGTGCTGGCTGGGCTCACTGGAACCCCCAGCGGACAAGGTAGATGGCGACACGGGAGCCGCGGAGTGCTGATGAGCTCATCCGAGCTTCCAGCAGGAGCCGATGTAGAGCCAGAGAGAATTGGGACCCCGGGCTCAACGTTAAGCTGGCTAGAAAACCGCACTGCTACAGGAACTGGGCCAAAGGTTCAGGTGCGACCTGAGCTGCTGGACACACGGGGACCTGAGCTGCTGGACACACGGGGACCTGAGCTGCTGGACACACGGGGACCTGAGCTGCTAACGGTGGAGAAGTAAATGACTGCACAGGGGACTGAACTGATGTCTGTAGTAACGGTGGTGGTGAGAGTGGAGTAGGTGGTGGAGTTAATGACTTCACAGGGAATGAACTAGAGGTAGTGACGGTTGTGGTGCTGGTGGTTGAGTGGGTGACTGTGCTAAAGGAGGCTGCACTGGGGACACTGGAGACTGCACTGGGAAAGCAGGGCTGCAGGAGGCTGCACTGGGGACACTGGAGACTGCACTGGGACACTGGAGACTGCACTGGGGACACTGGAGACTGCACTGGGGAAAGCAGAGCTGCAGGAGGCTGTACTGGGGACACTGGAGACTGCACTGGGGACACTGGAGACTGCACTGGGGACACTGGAGACTGCACTGGAGACTGCAGTGATGGTTGTAGTGGAGGTGTGACGGGTGGAGGAGTGGCTGAAGTGGCTGCGGGTCGGGCGGCTAGTGGCTCAGCTACAGAGCATATTAACGGCAGGGCTATGGGTTGAATGTCTGACTGAGTAGCAGCCTGAATGGCTGGGTTAGTGATGGTGGTGGTGGAAGGGAAACAGGTGGTAGTGTGGATGACGGAACTAAGGGCGACTGAGTGGCAGACCGAACTGATGACTGAAGCGATGGTAGAGGTGAAAAATGGAGCGTGTGGTGGAGTTAATGGCTGTGCTAGCGGGACACAGGAGACGCAGCTTGTAGCTGGGCAGCTAAGAGAGCTTCAGGAGGCTGGCAGCTGATAAACTGTTCACATTACCGTCCGTAGCACAAAACACAGCCCCTGAATGAATAGTTCCACGGTTCGACACAAAAAAAAGAGTCCTTACTCACCACAGCCGGCGATGTACAAGTCTGAATGTCCGGCTGTGGGTGGCGCGCTGGCGGCGTGGTCGTCGTTTCTTTTTAGATGATGGCTCTGACGGGCCGAGCGGCTCCACATCCGGCCCTTCAGGCAGGTGGGCAGTAGCAGCTGGGGGATGAAGGTGGAGCTAATTTTGGATTAAATCCTGTCGAGTGGTGGAGCGCACTGAGTAGCCAGGGAAGACCAAGATTAAACGCTGTAGTTTGGTTTCCACAGCACAGCGAAATTCCTTCCCCTCATGTTCGAGCCACAGATGCAGGAGTCTTTCCACGGAGTAGATTATGTCCAGACGCAGTTCTTCTGGTGGGTTGAGTGCTGCTGGGTCCATATCTGGTGACGTCGTACTGTCATGAATCGCTGTGCGGCAGCAGGAGTTGGACCCAAAATGCAGGACTCACAGACTCGGGAGGTGAACTCAAACACAGCTTTATTGCTGGTAGAACAAACATACAAACTAGACTAAACTGGGAAACCATAAACTAAGAACTCACAGGGGACACAGGGAGATCCACACACAGCTGAGGGACGACGCCACGCCGAACAGAGGGAGACGCAGACAGAAATACACAGAGGTTAACGAGGAAAGTGGAACACACGGGGAACACAGGTGACACTGAAATCATAACGAGACAGGGCGGGGTGAACTGAACATGACATGTACGGGCGTGAGAGTCACAAAGTAAACAGGAAGTGCACAGAGGTTCAGACAGGAGGAGAGAGAGCACGGGGAAAACACAGACATAACGGGCTGGGGAAACATGAAACAACCACAAAGGGAGACGAGGGTCATGAATACACAGGGCACACGGGGGGGGGGGGGAGAGAGCACGGGGAGAACTTGGACATAATGGGCAGGGAGACATGGAATAAAACATAAGGAGAGACGAGGGCTCACAGATACACAGAGGGCACACAGGGGTAAAAGCCATGAAGGGAAAACACTTAGGGAACAACACAACAGGGCAACTCAGAAAACATGGCCTAAATAAGGAACAAAAATACAAACATACAAGAAAACTAAGAACACTGGGCCAACATGGCCCAGGACCATGTCAGTTGTGTTATGGGATTAATAGTTAGGATAGTTTTTTCGGGGGCTTTAAAGTGCCTCATTCTTGATCTGTCTTTTGTAAATACTTGAACTTTAAAGGAGTAAAATATGGGACTGTGCACAAGTCTTAAGCCACACCTCACTTCTTTATATGTTGCTTCCAAGGAGCCAGATTTTCCTGGAATAGTTCTTTAGACTTTCTGAAGATCTTTCAGAGTTTGTCTGTGCATGCTGGCTACCTTTTCACTCATTTTCAGTCCACATTTTTAGAAGATTGACTGACCTTGTTTAAGAATACAAAGAGACCTAACTCAAGAGATGAACCAGCGTCGTGTCTACACATATCAGACAAAAAAAGAACCAGTTTTTAACTTGTTACTTTAAACACTTTGTTACCAGTAGCCTGATGAAAAAACTTTGGATTGTTTTCCTCATTTCCTTAGTTGAATCTATGAAAAATGCCAAAGATAACACAGATACACAACATCCAAAGACTCAGAATATCTCACCATGGCGTGCAGTTTGTGCTTAAGAAAACTATACACCAAGTTGAGGACAAAAGTTGCAGGCCTAAAGGAAAAAAAAAAAATCTGCAGCAGATGTACAGTATCTGAAAGTCATGTCCTTAAGAAATAAAAAAATAAAAAAGAAACCAGCAGAGACCTGACATACCTGACAGATTTAGCAGCCTCAATGCAAATGTTCTCAGTCGAAGGTTAGCAGGAAGGGAAAAGGAGAAAAGGCAGAGGAATACCAAATTATAACAACTGGAAAATCAGTGGCAGCAGGTCTTATGCAGTGATGGATCCATATTTGAAAATTTTGGTTCAAATCAGAATGTAAAGAGGAGGTCAGGAGGCATGGTCAACAGTGACTGGTACAGCCATCTGTAACAACACAGCGGAGGCTCTGTGATAGGTTGCATTTCTGCATGAGGTGTCTGGGTTCTTATCAAAATGAATGGAATTATTAATACAGAAAAGTACCCTCAGATTTTAATCCTCCATGGAATACCATCTGAAAAGTTGCTTATTTGCAGAGGCTTCATTTTCCAGCATCAAAATGATCCCAAAGACATTGCCAGTGCAGGGTAGAAAAATCGGATAGAAAAACACAAAATAAAATCAGCCACCAAGGACCCCCCCTAAAGCCAAGACCTCAACATAAATGAAGCAGTGTGGGATCATCTCAACAGACCATGGAATAAAGGGCAGCCAACATCCAAAGAAGGGCTTTGAATGTCCTTCAAGGCGCCTGGAGAACTTGCCTGAAGACTAAGACATGACAAGAAAAGCCGCCTGAGAGAGCTCAGGCCCTATTGAAGCACCAAAGTGGTCGTACGAAACATTGACTTTCAAACGAATTAGAATCAGACACACTCTGTTTTTGCCTTACATACCGTGTTCCCATGTATATTGACATATTTTTGCACATTTTCTGACGAAAATATAAAGATTGAGGTGTGGCTTAAGATTTTGCACATCACTGCAATGCTTTATCTTAGTCTCCAATTTTGATCGGAAAGCATGATTAAAGGAAGTAGCTACGCTAAATGTTCCAGTCGTTATGTACCCTTTTAAATCGAAGTTTTCATTCACATCATTCAGAAATGTTCGATCATCTTAATTCTTACAGTATGCTTCTTAAAAAACACCAGAAATAATCATTTCTTTTTATGTTTTTACTGTAATCTGCAAATTATTTTCTTGATTGATTGCTTGTCAATCAATTTGTTCCTGTTACAGTTTCACATAAGGACACATTAGGGCTACATTTGATTCATTCCCAAAACCAAAAGTTATACTAGGAAAAAGATAATTATTTTGGAGTATGGGGTTATTATTTATCTGCAAACTGACAACAAAACATGTTTTACACTGTGGAAAAAACGGAAAATCAATACTATAGTTATGCAGTATCGTGTACAATATACAAATGTGCTCATTTAAGAACCATGTGATCCTTTTAAACTGAGGAAACCTGTACAATTCCTTAGCTAGTGAGTGTTTCTACTGCCAGTTTATTACCTCCTCCTCACGTTGATACTCTGCTATCAGGTTGAATGGGATGGTGTAGAGTGTGCTCGACATGACACCAAACACACTGCAGAGGACGAGCGTTGCTATGATGTTGGGGAAAAGGCCAATCAGGCTGGTGCCCAATCCAAACACAAGGTAGCCCATAAAATATAATCCCTTCAGCCCGATGTATGAGAGGAGGAAGCGCTGCACATCTGAAAACACACAGACATGTACGTCACGGAAAGTTAAAATTACTGGTGGATCAACAAACCCGCATGAGGCGTGTGGAGTCAGGGTAGATAATTATGTGAACATTAGATTAGCGTACATTAGATGTACCAAAACCGTCTGTACATATAATTGGACATTTCCTAGAAGCCAAGACTCCTTCTCAACAGCAAAAGACTAAAAAAGCTGAGTTCATGCCAAGCCTTCATTATTTGGCTGAGCTTTACCCTGTATGTAGCACAACAGTTCTCTCAGGTTCACATGTGCTGTTTAACAGGGGATGTTTGAAGCATACATGTGGACTTACGTGTTCAGAATAACGCAGGTCAGGATGCCTTGGCAAAAGCATGCTAATGGAGTTCCCTGCAATCCCAAAGCAAAAGCAGTAATTTCCCTTTGTTATCCATTTCCACCTGCCACTCTCTCACATAGCTTCCCCTCACACATTACTGCCACTTACATGAGTAGAGAGCAGAGGACACTGCATTAATGCACAATCCCCAGCAGCCAACTTCTACTCCCCTCTCATATGTGGCATAGGCGGTAGAGTTGTGATCGGCGTACGGATTCCCCTTATACACAATCTGAAACGAGAGGAGGGTCATTTAAAAAGGAAGGATTTGTATATCAGATACTGGCCAACTTCTTGTTAAAATCAGGCTTTTATTTTTTATTTTCCTTATGAACAAAACATCTGTAGCCCTGTTGCAGAACAGGGAGCCTGACTATGCATTTCTCATTGCAGATAAGAAATAAGCCTGCAATTTTAGATAAGTTGGTGCATCTGTGCTTAATGAAGCGAGGCAGAGTCATGGTGTGAAGAGCATCCTTTGATCAGCATTCACACTGTGACACTGAAAGCATTCATCATAATGGCACATGTCAACAGAGGATTGCACACAACAATAACAACACGCCGCACCTTCCTTCACCCTCCATCTTCCCCCACACAAGCAGGCAGCTTAATGGAGCTTGAACGCAGATACATGTTGCAGTGTGTTGCTTTTCCTCTCTAATGTTGTTGCTTTGAATTGCTTTGAACCTTACCTCATTTGAACGTAAGTCATTTTAAGGGATATCACATAAGTCTGATATGATTTTTGTTAATTGTTTCTGCCAAAGACTAAATTGCCATATTCAAACAAAGCAAACAAACTAACTGAGTAAATTAGATAATTATATGTTATTTGTTTTTGTTTTGTTTGCTTGGATTATTGAGACGGTTTCCACATGCAAGGATTTTCTGTTTTTATTTGGAAAAATTATCGCTGTTCATATGAAAATTCAAAAAAATCACCGTCAAGAACACACCAAGGCCATTGAACAGGTGGTGATTAAACCCTGACTCCTAGATCTGATGGCCAATCAGAAGCTCACAAGCACTAATGCTGCTCACAGTCTGACATCACAACAATCATTGCTAATGACTACGTTGTTAGCCAATGAGTGTGAAGGAAGGAGTCTTCCAAAAGCCAATGGTCACCTATAGACAGACCACTAGCTGTAACAGACTGGAATAAAAGCAGCACCTTTATATTTTACTTGACACATTTAGATCACAACACACACACACACACACACACACACACACACACACACACACACACACTGTCACGGTCCGGGGCAGCGCCGTGTGGAGAGTGGAAGGAGGACCCAAAACGCAGCACTTATTCAGATGTGAGGTGATTTATTGTTAATAACAAACACAAAGTGGAGATGGCAAACAGAACTAAGGACGAAACTAAACTGGGATAAACTACACAGAGGAGTGGCAAACCTGAACATGAAGGGAGAACAGCAGGGAGAACACGCAGAGGATTACACCAGGTAGGAACACAGACGACGCGACGAGGAGCAGAGGAAATCACACGCTATAAATACACAAGAGACACTGGGAAAATCACACACAGATGGGGGAAACAGCTGGACCTGATTAACCTGACGAGACAGGGGAACACTAACACCAGGGACCAACAGAGGGAGCACAAACCCAGAACCCAGTGTCTAAATCCCAAACACAAACCATCCCAAAACAGCCATGAATAATAATGAAAGTAATACAATAAGTACATAAACATAAAGTCACTGAGTCATGGTCGCAGGACCATGACAGTACCCCCCCTCAAGGGCTGGCCCCCGACAGCCACAGAAACACACCACCAGATCCGGGCGGGCGGCAGGGGCCAGGACGGAGGGACCGGACCACGACCACGGACGGAGGCCCCAGAGTCCCAAAACAAAGACGAACACAAAACCCACAGGGGAGCAGAGTCCAAAGCACAGTTCAGGAGGCCGTCCACGAAGAAGGCAGCGGCGGCGCGTAAAGAGTTCAGGAGGCCGGCCGTGCGGAAGGCAACGGCGGCGCGTAAAGAGTTCAGGAGGCCGGCCGTGCGGAAGGCAGCGGCGGCCACACAGGCGATGGCGGTCCGGGGGCCGGCCGTGCGGAAGGCAACGGCGGCCACACAGGCAACGGCGGCCAGTCAGGCGACGGCGCTCGGCCAGTAGCCTAGCCAGCGGTCCAGAAAACGGCCGTTTAGCTCCAGACCCAAACGAGGCTGGGCCAGGCGAGGCTGAGGGCACGGAAGCCGGGACCGCAGCAGGCGGAGATGATGATGCAGACACAAAGGCTGGACCAGGCGAGGATGCAGACACGAAGGCTGGACCAGGCGAGGATGCAGACACGGAGGCTGGACCAGATGATGCTGATGATGCTGATGCCGGACCAGACGATGCTGATGATGGACCAGACGAAGATGAAGCCGGACCAGACGAGATGAAGCCGGGCCAGGCGAAGATGAAGCCGGGCCAGGCGATGAAGAAGCTGCAGCTGAAGCTGGGCCAGGCGAAGCTGACGCTGTAGCTGAAGCTGGGCCAGGTGAGGATGAAGCTGGACCAGAATCAGGCGAGGATGAAGCCGGGCCAGGCGTGGATGAAGCTGTAGCTGAAGCTGGGCTAGGCGAAGCAGACGCTGAAGCTGAAGCTGGGCCAGGTGAGGATGAAGCTGGACCAGAACCAGGCGTGGCAGAAGCAGGTGGTAGCGCTGCAGGTGATGGTACTGCAGGAGGCGGCGCTGCAGCCACAGGTGGAGAAGCAGCCGCAGGTGGAGAAGCAGCCACAGGTGGCCGGACGGGATCCTCGGGCCCCCCAGCCGACATGGCAGCAGGTGTGGCATGAGGCTGGACGAGCTCCTCGGGCCCCCAGCCGAAGAAGCAGGAGGCCGGACGGGATCCTCGGGCCCCCAGCCGACGTGGCAGCAGGTGTGGCATGAGGCTGGACGAGCTCCTCGGGCCCCCCAGCCGAAGAAGCAGGAGGCTGGACGGGCTCCTCGGGCCCCCCAGCAGGCGAAACAGGAGGCTGGACGGGCTCCTCGGGCCCCCAGCAGGCGAAACAGGAGGCTGGACAGGCTCCTCGGGCCCCCCAGTGAAAACAGCCGCAGAACCAGTGGGCACCGCAGCCCCCGGCACACACGAAACAAGACCAGTAGGCACGCGGGCCTCCGGCACACATGAAACAAAACCAGTAGGCACGCGGGCCTCCGGCACACATGAAACAAAACCAGTAGGCACGCGGGCCTCTGGCACACATAAGGAGGGCTGCAGCTGCGCAGAGCACTGACCCTGCTCAGGCAGTGACAGCCCGGTGCAGTTCACAGCTGGCATCTTGGCCACCAGGGGTCCAGAGTAAGCTGAGGGTAGTAACCCGCCTCTGGGGAAGCCCCGGAGTGAGTAACAGTCACTAATGTTGCCAGCTGTTGAGGAACAGGTCCGTAATGTAACAGTTCATCTCCCTGCCTAGAAACAGCGGTGGAAAAACAGTGTGAAAACTGTGATTCAGCTATTACCGGAACCGTGGGTTGTAGCGATGCTAGCGGTGATGGTGGCGGCTGAGTGGCTAACTGGAGCGGCGGCAGAACAGGCAATTGCGCCCCAGGGAGGCTAACGGCTGAGCTACTGACTGGGGAGCTTGTGGCCGAGCACTGAACTGAGCCAGAGAATGGCGATAAAGTCCTGGCTCAGAAGGGGTGGCAGAGACACAGTCTGTTAGTCTTGCAGAGGGTCTGTACACGCCCACTTGGGAAGGATCAGTCACCACGAAGGTGGGTAAGCGATCCATACAGTCTCCCATCCCGCTCTGAATCGCCCCAGAAAACAAAGTCCTGGGGACTGGGGAAGCCAGAACATGTCGCTCGCTCACCGCCTCGGGCTGCTCGAAAGTAAAAGCAGACGGGGGGTGAAGTCCGAGGTCCAAAAGGAGGAACTCCCGCTCCCACGAACAAAGCGAGCCCAGAAGCCATGGGAGACCGGTCACCAGACGCTGTAGCCGCCTCTCTATAGCGCGCTGGGACGTGCCACCCGGGCTTTCCAGCCACAGGTCGATCAGCTCCTGTGTGGCATCGATTAGATTTTCCCGTAGCTCCCTGGACGGGTTAAGCGCTGCTGGGTCCATGTTGTGGTCGCGTCGTACTGTCACGGTCCGGGGCAGCGGCCGTGTGGAGAGTGGAAGGAGGACCCAAAACGCAGCACTTATTCAGATGTGAGGGTGATTTATTGTTAATAACAAACACAAAGTGGAGATGGCAAACAGAACTAAGGACGAAACTAAACTGGGATAAACTACACAGAGGAGTGGCAAACCTGAACATGAAGGGAGAACAGCAGGGAGAACACGCAGAGGATTACACCAGGTAGGAACACAGACGACGCGACGAGGAGCAGAGGAAATCACACGCTATAAATACACAAAGAGACACTGGGAAATCACACACAGATGGGGGAAACAGCTGGACCTGATTAACCTGACGAGACAGGGGAACACTAACACCAGGGACCAACAGAGGGAGCACAAACCCAGAACCCAGTGTCTAAAATCCCAAACACAAACCATCCCAAAACAGCCATGAATAATAATGAAAGTAATAACAATAAGTACATAAACATAAAGTCACTGAGTCATGGTCGCAGGACCATGACACACACACACACACACACAAATTGTAAAACAATTGATAAAATAGAGAAAATAACCTTATATTGGGGGAAAAAAACCCTCTATTGTTCAGATATTGTGCATATCTGTTTAAAAATTGACACTTGGATATGCAAAAAATAACAGTAGTTCTTTATAACACCACTTGAGTTTATCCACCAACAGGTACTCTGCAATTTCCTGTCGGGAAGACGTGTTCAGAACACCACGAACAACAAATGGTGTGTAATATCGTGAATAAATAAGTATTAATGTAAGGGGAATCTTTTTTAGGTTTCCTGTATCTAAAAGAAGAAAACAGCAATATATCAAAATATTTGATTTTTAATTCATCAAATATTGCATGTTGGCTGGGCTCTATTCATGACCTTTTTAAAAAATGATTTTCTTAACTTGCTTAAATTGCTTGTTGGTATGTAGATTGATTAAAGTAATGCATCATTAAGGGCTTTGAGATTGGTAGACCTTAGAAATCAGCTCAGTTAATTTGAGAAATTGAACTGGATCCATTTTTGTTAGTGCCTTTTGTAGCATTTTTAGTGCAAATATAACACTTGCAGTGTGGTTAATTGGACTAATATCCAGCTGAAGACATCTGCTCTGAAGTTTTATTGGTACAGTTTATAGTTGCAGCTGTCTAGCAACAGCTGGCATTTTAGCAGTCCTCATTCAAAAACATTGTGGTGAGTTGGCTGTAATTCTAAACTCAAGGCTTTAGAAAAAACACTTTTTTCTCATCTATTCCACCAGACAAAGGCCTTGGCGAGAAACACAATCTGACAGCAACATGTGAAAGAAAGGACGCAGCGATGATAAATATCAAGTAGAATTGTAACCTTTATGAGGTCGCAAATGGCCCAGCTTCCTAAATAAGATTATTGATTGGTTACTATTTGAAATTCTAAAAAGCTCACTGGAGACACATGCAAATCAATACCTGTCCCATGAAATCGGTAAAGAAAAGCATATTGCAGAGGAACGCTGTCCATCCCAGCAGGTGGCTGACACACAGGCAGCGGTAGTGACTTGGCATATTGACAATAGCTTTTATCAGCAACCTGAACGTCATCTTCTTCTGGTCCTGCAAATACACAAAAACATCACAGACATCAGTGCCAGCAGCTAAAAAACTGACAGGAGGAAAAAAAAACCCTCTCAGAGTGCTCATTAGTCTGCTGGTATTTCACGGCTAGTGGTGTTTTTAGCCCATGAGTGACAACACTTCAAAAGACTCTACAATTAAAAAAACATGCATGCCCCATAAAAGGCTGTAATTAGATTGAATGAAGGGATTCAGCATAAAGGACTACTACTAAGGAGTTGGCTTTAGGATTAAGGATTAAGGATGATTAACGCAAAAGGAAGACTTGAAAAAGAAAAAAACAACTACGCTCTTTGGAACAATCATCCCTTATTAATTTTCTAGTGTAGCAGATATATACAGAGCAATTCTTTTAGCATCTTTTTTCTTAAACCTTTCTAATATAACAGGCAAAAAACAAACAAATGTGAAGCATCAATGGAAAGCTGAATCTACAAAAGAAGGAGGAAGAATATTCAGGCAAAAAGTCGACATCATAGAGATAATTCATCAAACACTTAAATGAAAACTTTAAAGGTGATTTTGAGGAAGGTGATCACATCAATCCCTCTGAAATGTAAAAGACTGAGATCACATCAGTCAAATATATAAGTCTAGAAAATCTTTGGAAAGTTTGGATATACTTTTAATGCAGGAACTTATAAAGTTGGAAGTTGTATTGTCTGCACTGAAGCAGTTGTTGAGATGACACTCGGGCAGATGTGTTCTATTGGTCTTTCCTGAACACTCCGCTGACCCCAGCCTCACTCTGTACTTATAGGGGTTCTTGAAAGGCATTCCTGCATCTCAGCGGCCTTTGGGATACTCTGTGGAACCCTCTTAGATCCTGCTGGGATAGCATAGTTTTTCAGGATTTATACAAACTTGGAGAGTTCATGCCAGCTGCATGGCTGGTGTCAATAAAGCAAAGGGGGGGGGGGCAAATCAAGTACTAAGATATTCTGCAAAGCATTCAGCAAAGCAGGAGTAGTAAGATGAACTGGCAGGTGTATCAATAGTCTTGAAACTCCCTGAATACTGCATCTCACATCATTTACTACTGTAGAGAAAGTATTCAAACTCCTATAAGACTCAGTGTTTTATTTCCATAGTTACCTCTGCCAAGCGTACCCTGACTAACCATTTGAATCTCAATATAGTCTGTGGCAACTTCAAGGTTTGACTAGTTTTATTGGCTCTCTGTATTGTGTAATTCACTTAATGCACTAAACTCTCTGAAAGACTTTTTATGCATGTTACATACCTCTTTGTTTGGCTGTTTGACACTTGAGGTCACTGAATTGGCTTCTCCCAGGGCTGAGAAAGATCTGGGCCTGAGATCTGTGACAGATGGAGAGACTACAGCAGAGACAGGCTCCTTAAGTGCTCCATAACTATTGCTATGAGAGCTCAGCAGGCGAAGAGGGCTGGATGGTGAATCAGATGGAGATGGTGCCTTGCCCAGAGGTTGCTCTGGAATACTGAAGAGGTGCACAGTGAGGAAGATGCCCCAGGTCAGCGCTGAGAAGAAATAGATGACCTGGTACTCGGATCCAAAGAGACGGCCCAACGCGGAGTGACCCCAGTCCATAGCTCCCACCAGGTAACCACATGCTCCGCCCAGGCCTGGTGCACACAGAATGAAAGATTAAAACAATGCGTAGATCCAAGAATTGTTCTAGAAGCATGGCTGAGAGCAGTGAGAGGTAAAGGGGAGGAATCAAATGCACTTGTTCTCTATTAGTTATATACATGGTGACTAGAGCGGTGACTGATGAAATAACTACTATTTTCAACTGCTTGGGGACAGCATCAAGAGTTGGGAAACCTCCTTTTGAACTGATATGGCGAAGTAGCTAGAAAACAGTTATTTGCACTGACATTTGTGTGTTGTGTTAAGACCAACTAAAGAATGCAAATCAAACATCTCCTTGATTCTAAGCTCTGTTTTTAGTCTCTATCGGGCTTTCTGTAGTTGCTTAAAGCTGTAATAATGTGGATAAATGACTCCATGACACCTTTGACAGTAACCAAAGCAGTTAAGGTGTAAACCAACTAGCTTAACTCAACTAGCTGTAACTAGTTTATCTCCTCTGATAAACCTATTTCACATTATTATCTAGTGCCTTTTGTTATGTAGGCAGTGGAGCCCATCTTTTTTAACCTCTGACATCCAGGGCCTACTGTTCTGGTAATGTCATCATACCAAGATCTAAAAATCTCTCTGATCTTTTATCCAGGCTAAAAACATCAGAAAAAGTGGGCTTCTGCTTATTATTAAACCAGTTTATCCAAATTCAAATCAAGAGCATCCAGAAGAAGATTCATCCCAAAATCTTCCATCAGGTAATTCTTAAATCTGTATGTCATCAGGACTAGACTGGTTAAATTTGACCTCTATGGAAAGGGTGCAAAGAAAAAGAAAACATTTGGTGAACATGTCATTGAACATACAATTATGTGACTCAATGCCTTGACATTTCCTTTATAATGGTAGAAATGTTCTGGTTTGTTGTTGCTTCAGTGCCTGAGGGGCTGCTGTGATCTCTGAAACGACTATGAATTTTGCATCATATCAAAGAGTGAAGAGAGGAAGATGATTAGAGGCCATCTGCAGGAAAGTGTAAGGTGATGGATTTGAAACAGGCAGCACATGAAAGACATTCCCCTCCAAAAAACCCTGAAACCCTGGGAATTATGCATTGAAAAATAGTCAAAAGAAACAAGCTACAAAAGCTAGTTTTTGCTAACAGCTTCTGGTGCCGAGAATAAACGTACTTTTTCCCATAAAAGAAAATTAAATTATTAAATCAGTTGGATCAAATAACCGATTCAAAAGTGGATTTTATCTGAGATATTATTCAAGCAAACCGCATTTATCTGTTGACACTCTTTAAAAGAACCAAACGTGACTGTACATACAGTATGTTCCATAAATGAATAGAAAAGTAATTTTATTACTTTTACTGGCACACACCACTGGACAAGCACATTTCAAAACTCATGACAGAAAAAAATTGAATATTTTCAGATGTGGGAAAAGTAATATGTTGTTACTGTACTTACATAGAGTTTTTGGATACCTGTGCTTTGAGTATTTAAACACTTGTTACTTTAGGTTTATTCAAACGGGAGCTATTTGACCTCACTCACCTTCCAGACATCAAACTGATTTCACTGTAAATGGAGAAACAGTAACATATAAAAGGGAATCCTTTTGGTGTATCCCACATCGGTTCTTATGACACATGATGAGATGAAATAGCGCTGCAGAAGAGGAGCGAGCACAAAGGGAGTAATATTTTTTTAAGTGGAAAGTCATTTTAAATGCATCTTTTAAAGAGCTCAACAAATGTCAGAAAACACAACAGTCTGTGCAGTTTGTCAGACAGTGTGAAGGATCACTGCTGTATTTCCCAGGGTGAGAAAAGAATGAGAGCGAAGTTTACTCAACGATGAGGAAAGAGGAGAGGGGGAGGAGAGATTGTTTTTAAGTGCTGCTCAGTGACATTTGATAGACTCAGAATTTAAAGCTTAAATGTCCTCAATTTCATAAGCTTTTGATATCAGCTTTATACCTGATGTGTTGATGAAATTAGTTGTTTTTTTTCATACTGTGAAATATCCTGCAAAACAACTTTAAGTATATCTTTGCGCTATTCAAAGATAACATGAAAATACTGGGCAATTTAGTGCAAGATACACTGGTTACTTTTCATTGCTGTGGTGAAGTTTACAGTGATGCACTGTTGAACTGGTGCAGAGAGTTTGGTTATACCAAGGGTAGTAGGCATCAATATAAATTTAAGATGATAATGCTTATTAGATTTACTCACTGAATCCCACCTTTATACAAGGTTTATGCTGTCTAGGGACTGGAAATCACCCACTGTGGATCGTGTGGTTATATCTTGTTAAATTCGGTGGGTTAAATCAGACCTAAGGCAGCGCTGCTCAACTGATCACGTCATGCACACAAACTCCACTGGGACTCACAAAAGAAATGAATGTGACTTACTTCTAGTGTTTTGTTTTGTTTTGTTTTTGTCCCAGGCTGTACCACTAACATTGATCTTTTAACGTTAGCTTAAAACTTTCATTTTTGCTAAAGCATATAGTTAGGGCTGGATCAGGCGACCCTGAATCCTCCCTTAGTTATGCTGCAATAGACGTAGGCTGCCGGGGGATTCCCATGATGCATCGAGTGTTTCTTCTTCTATTCTATGTGTTAATAGACCTCTCTGCATTGAATCATACTTGTTATTAATCTCTGTCTCTCTTCCTAGCACGTTTTTTACCCTGTCTTTCTTCTCGCACCCCAACCGGTCGCGGCAGATGGCCCCGCCCCTCCCTGAGCCTGGTTCTGCCGGAGGTTTCTTCCTGTTAAAATGGAGTTTTTCCTTCCCACTGTCGCCAAGGTGCTTGCTCATAGGGGGTCATATAATTGTTGGGTTATTCTCTGTATTTATTATTGTAGGGTCTGCCTTACAATATAAAGTGCATTGAGGTGACTGTTGTTGTGATTTGGTGCTGTATAAATAAAATTGAATTGAACTGAAAATTGATCTTAGTGTTCCCACAACTTCTGAATCCATTCCTAACTTTTTCTGTTTAGGCAAAGTGGCCCATCTATAATGTAGGTAACAGCAAATAGAGTTTTTTTTTTTAATTCCCTTGTTTTCCTCTGCTTGCGTTCTACATAGCAGATGTTTAAGCAGAGTACATTCATTAGAGTCAAGGCTGAAAAAATATTCCCACGAATTAATATTTTTTTATTAACTCTGCCAGAGTGTTTATGTTTTTGGTAGCATGAGTCATGTTGTCTGTAAACACGATAGCTTTTCACAACAGCTTGAAAAGCTTTGAATGAATTCTGGTAAAACTGTGTAGGGGTGTAGAGTGGGGTCAGGCTAACAAATAAAAGGTCTTCAAGGTCAACTTAATGATTTGTTGGTCAAAAATTGACAAAAAAGCTTTACAACTTAGAAACTATGATTCTTGCAAGTGTGTACTACAGGTTTTAACTGTTTAAATACATTATACAGACTACAGTATAATGCTCCTGAATACATTTTAAATTTATTTTATTGTATTGTTTTTTTGGAAAACCAAATAAGCTGGTGAGCAAAAACTTTCACTTGGCATTTATTATTGCATATTAAAAAAATACTAAATGAATGCTACACATGTACTATATCCATAACAATAAAATTGATAAAAAAATATATATATATATATTCTAAATTTTGTCAAGTATATCAAAATAGGTTTCAACAAAACGAACAACAAAAGCCTGAACTTTGCAATTTTTTTCACTGCACTACAAACGTCTGAAAGTGTGTTTAAAAAACCCCAATGAAAACAAAATGAATTCATAAAAAATACAACACTGTTTTCTTAAATACAAATACTGCCCAGAGAGTGAACTGCCACGGTGAAGGTTTGCACTCTTGCAGTGTTGCTTGTTAAATGAAATTGGCAGGTGGAGGTTCAATGAGGTTTACCAGAGTATTTCTAACACAAGTGTTTGTGCTTAAGCTCAAATGTAGATTGTCTGTACTTTAATGTCAGTGTTAAGATTAGATGACATAAGCTAAGATCAACATCCAGGCAATGGATATATCTCATCAGGAATCTGGATTTAGCCTGTCTGTCACCGTCGCAGCGTACTATTATGAAGCGAATTATCACCCGCACACAACGCTGGAGAGACATATCACACCAGTCTTTGATTAACGACACAGCCTCCACACTCGAGATGGACCGCGTCATTATCGAGCATTTTGCTTAATGGAGACAGCTGTCTCTTTATGTCAGCGTCATAATTTTGCTGAGCTATGGATAGCTCAGTGAACCTTCAGTGAACCCTCAGTGAATCACTGCCTCTCTATAACTTGGTGGCTTTTGCAACACATAAAAGTACACCACTAATAGTTTTTATAATGTGATGAAGTTATTCTTATAAAGCGCCTATTCTAAAATGGCAGGAAGAGACTGAGTTTTCTTTTTTAACTTGATTACGTGTTTAACTGACCACATGCCATAAGCAAAATAACCAAATAACAAAATTAGAAAGACAGAATTACACAGCAATTCAAAAAAAATGTAGGCAATCACTGTGTAACATGTTAATCAAAAAATAGATTTCAGTGATTTACAAATTTCATCAATTTTATTTTATTCACATTAGCACACAGAAAACTTGTTTAGAATGAGGACAAAGAAAGATGTAGGGGCCATCCTACATTAGAAAATCCCATGATTTTCTAATTTCCACTTTGCCCGTTTGAAATGAGCTTCGATCATGTTCATATATGGCTTTTTTGTGCGTTTCTGAGCCCCTGCAGTGATTTCAATGATCGCATCATGCCTGTTTTTAGTGTAGTGCAGTCTGAGGTCCAGACGTTCACGGGCAGACAGTATTGATTTTCAGCCTTGTCCTGTGCCCACAGAGATTTCTCCAGAGTTTCAAATCTTTTCAGGATGCTATGAACTGTAGATGATGTTCTCTAAGACACTTTTTTAAATACCCAATCGTGTTACTGACATGTTTCCAAATAACCTAATTCATTGTAAAATGTTCATTCAGCTCTTTCTTTTTAGCACCTCTTACTTTGAACATTTTG